ATGAATTAATTTACTGAACAGTTGCACTAGGCCGTTGGATTCAATAAACCTCAACGTTAATCTGCCTCAAAATAGCGTCACAACGTACCGAAGAGGATAGCCATTTGTTCGAACACAATCATCGCATCGATAAACCTGATGACTTATTCCACGTTAACCGAAAGTCTCGTGATACTTTTTATTTTCAGGACCCCAAGTGTATGGAGACAAAATACCGCGAAGGGTACTCGAACCAACGCACAAGCGGGTGCAGAGGAACATCGTGCTGTACCACAACTTCTTTCGGACACGCGTCACTCCCCCTGCAGCAGACATGCTCAGCATGGTAAGGATAATATTAAAATGGTGCTTAAGAATATAAATGAGAGCGTGGATTGGTTTTATCTGGCTCAGGACATGATCCAGTGAAAGGTTATTTTGAAAAGGCACTCGTTTTCCGTGTTGTTTACCAGCTGAAGAGCATTATCACCATAATCATCGTCCTGATGACAGAGGCAGCAAGCAACTCTGAAACGTCGATAAGCTTCTACCGCATTACAAGGCGCAACATCTTTTTCTTGAAGTCGTGAGCAAAGAGCCTTAAATCTCACAAACTTCAGTTCATATACCTAAACAAATTGCAGAACGAAACACTTTTATTTCGTTACAGATAAGCAGAAACGAGTCCGAGCTTATTCATTTTTGAAGTAATTATCTGTAACGAAGAGATCAAGGCCCAATTACTAGTGCGTCTCTATCAATTACGTCTTTCACATGCAAAAAACAGTTCATGGGTACATGGCAGATAGCAGCATTTGTTCTTTCAATTCCCAATTGCAAGGATGTGGGCAGATTACAGACTCAGTGGACTCACTCACTCACTCTATGGTGCAGGATATTCTTTCAAAAGTCGATGGTATACTCGGCTTATCAAAGAACAGCCCACTTTCTTTCTAGAACCCGAAGGTTCATCACCGTGTTCACAAAAGCCCGCCACCTGGTTCTATCCTGAGCCAGCTACATCCAGTCCTCTCCATCGACTCCTGTCTCCTTAAGGTCCATCTTAACGTTATCCTCCCACTTACGCCTAGGTCTTCTCAGCGGCATCCTTCCTCCAGGCCTTCCAACCAATTCCCTGTAAACACCCTTCCCCTCCCCCACACGTGTCGCATGAATCCTCCTGGATTTAATTATCCTAACATTATCAGGTTAGGAGTACAGGCCGAGAAGCTCATCATTATGCAATTTTCTCCATAATCCGTCTCCCTCCCTTTTAGGTTCAAATAATCTTCTTAAAGAACCTCAATCTATGTTCCTCCCTCGAATTGAGAGACCACGTTTCGCACCCATACACTCAGTAGAGCTACGCCAGCATTTTGCAATAAACGAACAAGCGCTCCTGTTTCATATTCGGGAAACCCCAGTTTTGATTCTCGGCTGAGAGGCCAGCTATCTTGATAAGATTCTATGGGTTTCCTCAGTCCTTCTGAACGAATGCTAGGAAAATACAGAAAAATACACAGCTGTTCTATCTCACAGTCATTTTGAAATCGTTTCTTGCCAGCCTCGAATTTGTAAAATCTGTACGACTGAGAAATCACTGTTAGATAAAGTAAGAAGCCGTGAAGAACAGGCAGGTTTCTTTTGAACCTTGTGGTTTCTTCTGCTGATCCTAAAACACGAATAAGATTGTAATTCTAACGTCTAAGTAGAAACCATTACCATTCCTTCAAATGTCTGTGCTTGTTCATCTGCCTTAGAATAAATGATAAATTGCAACCTAAAGGTTCCCTTATACATGTAAAAAACAAAGAGGGAGCTTCGATATTACAAAAATTGTGGTGTAGTACAGTCGAGACATTGGAATTGTTTGTGTGTGTGTGATTTCAGAGTTGGAACAAAGATGCTGCCCGATCTGCCCAACGCTGGGCAGAAAAGTGTATGCTGCTGACACATGACAACGTGACTGGACGATGGGTGGACAATTTTGGTTCCTGTGGACAGAACATTTTTGTGTCCACACACCAGGTGCCCTGGTTAGTGAGTTCTAAATTGTTATTTTTGGAATAGATACAAATATTCATCCTCTTCCTCACAGTTGCTGAGATTAAATTATACTTGAAACTTCAAGTGCAATGGCCAGACAGGAGTTTGAAAAATATATTATTGAAACTGGTGTCAGGGTTTTTGGCCCATATTACAATAAACTTGCAATAATTTTTTAAAATCTGATTTAAATTTACGGTTAATGTTTGTTAGAAAACATATGAAATATACATATGTTCATGCCTCATTTGCAGAACACAGGACAACTCAGAATAAAATAATTTCCAATAAATTTGTTGAATATGTAGCAAATTTAAAATATATGAAAATGACAATTATATAAATCAAACTTACAAAATTAATAACAACTTTAGGGTATATGAGAAATGTATACAAACTCTTGGTTTGAAAGCCTGAAGGGAAGAGAATACTCAGAAGACCAAGGCATAGATAGCTGGCTAACATTAAAATTGGTCTTGAGGAAAGATGGTCAGTCTGGCTTAGGATAATGACTGGTGGAGGGCTCCTGTAAACACATTAATAACCTTCAGGTTACATAAAAGTTGGGGGAATTTATTGACTAGCTGAGCTCTGCTCCACAGAGCTAGCTAGTTATTTACAGTCTAACTTAGTTTCATGCTAATAACCAAGAGATTTCAGTCATTTAGAATTATAGCACCATCAAGTTAACATCAACAACTGTAGGAGCAGTAGCAACAACAAAAACAACAATTTTATTTACTCTTCTACATTCTTCAAATCTGATGTAATTTTTCGCTGTTATAGGTACTTCGCTATCAAAACATGGTTCTTGGAGAGGCATGACTTCACATACGGCTCTTCACGAAATGACCTGTTTAGGGTGGGCCATTACACGCAGCTAGTGTGGGCTACCACACACAAAGTGGGCTGTGGCTTCCAGAAGTGTGAACGTGGAGGTATTAAAGGCAAGCCCTATTACAACTATGTCTGCAATTATTGTCCCATGTGAGTACAATGTTGTCTACATTCTACCTAAATTTTATTTTATTAATTTGTTTGCTTTGAATATTGACATTATAAGTGATACATTTTGAAGAAAACAAAACATATTCAGTAGGATTTGAGGTTTCATGGTGCTACAACTCAGAAGACAGCCATGTTTAAACATACTCACCATGTAATTTGATGAACAGAGATCTCTGCCATTGTATGACTTATAATATTTCTGATTCATCAACATGGTCTGAAACTAAAATTATGAGCTCAAATTTTAAGAAGAATCTGTTTGTAAGATCTGAGGTTTTCACAGCGGTGAGTATGAAGATTGCTGTCTTCTGGATTATTGCGCCATGTAGACTAGTAGATTTCCATCAACGTTTCAGAGGTCATACTGCCTCCGTCATCAGGGCGATGAATAGGCAGTATGACCTCTGAAACGTTGGTAAACATCGATCAGACTACACAGCGCAACAACCCAGAAGACAGAAATCTTTAAGAATCTGTTTGTGAAGACTGTTTCTTTTGTAGAGGGAATTTCATGGACCGGCTAGGGCGACCTTACAAGAAGGGGGCTCCATGCTCACAATGCTCCAAACACTGTCGCCTGAAGAAGCTGTGCATGAACTCATGTCCCTCAGCAGACTTGTGGGCCAACTGCCAAGAACTCAACAACACATGGCATGACTGGCTGTGCCAGAATTATTCTCACGAGGGTCGTGATCGCCACCGCCACTGTTCAGCCACCTGTAACTGCCATGACAGGATCATCTAACATTTATTGTTTTCAGAGAAAAAAGGAACCTAAAACACCAAACACAGTTTTATTTAATTGTACATGATGTTCAGTGCTTCTTGTATGGGTTTTGGTCCTTAGATTTGTCTGAACAATATTCCATATTCCTCCACAAACTCAGCAGTGATTGTATCATATTCTTCAGTTCCTTGTCCCACATGAGCAGCTGACAGGATACACATCTAGCCATTTCTTTTTCACTTTTTGTCTCCCCACCTTGCTTAACAGAAACATCTGTTTGCCAGAGTAAAAACTTGGTGCAGAGCGTTAGCAGATGCCATGATCGCTGCTCAATAGAGCAGCTGTCGGCATGGTTTCGTTCTCACTTGCTTAGTTAGTGAAACAGCTAGGTTAGTGTTCGATAAATTCCAACCGGGAGAGAAGCGCAATGCTGACTTGTGCTATGATGTGAAATGTGGAAAAAAATCTGATAGAAATGTGGTCAGTTTAAGTTTTTTTTGAAAAGACTGAATGAATCCACAAGAAACCAAGTTAAGACAGTCTTAACAGGTAATTCACAAATACAAAGTTCGTGCTTTGCCACTAGCTGATCATCTTGTTTAGAAGAATTACTTACAGATAAATGCAGGCTTTCAGGTTTAAATATTTTATAAATCAGAAGAGATTAAATGCATTAATTTTCAGTCTATAGTTCTGGATAAACTTCATAGTCTTCTCTGGAGATGCCTTGAGACCTGCCTACATTATCCCAGAGACATGGGTCCCTGATGCACATTCAACAGAAGGCACAAGAACCAGTCTGGATAAAGATGCTGAGAGAAGAAGAATCTTCTCCATGCCAAAAACTGAACTCAAGTCATCCAGCCACTGACTGAGCTATCTTGTCTCCTGGATACCTGTTTTGCATATGCGAATATGGTTTTTGTGATAAACTGGAAACTAACATCATATAGCATAGCCTTTCATACAATAAATACGTTTAGAGCTCTAATGCGCATATTTTGTTTAAAGGCCCCTACAATTAATCAACCCTGGTATTTCTGTTATATTCAGTAGAGATCTTTCTTACTTACAAATTAATTATTCTCTCTCTTCTTGGAGAGGAGTGTGTGGCAATACTGTCAGAAGAGTATTGCGTTCATAAAACAATACATGACTCTCACAAATCCATGTGAGTGAGATGAATGATATTTAAACCCATTCATATCCATAAGCATACAATGATCTCGTGCTGCATGTTTTAATATGCCAAGGTGTTCCGAATGGTCTCCTCTTCACGCTTGAAGAGATATTTTGCATATGGTGCCCAGTGTTTGCTGTGAGTTTTTGCTCACTTACACTTGTTATATTTGGTATAGATAATATATTACTGATGGTACCCCTGCTGCAAATTGTCCATGCCACAGACGCACTAAATCATAGACACTTAAGTACTCAGCTTACTCCGTGGACTTCCAACTGTCTCAGAACTCATGGAACATATATAATTTTTCATTATTAATAGTCTTATTCCAATCAAACTTAAACAAATCCAAAATAACCGATCTGCATAGGATCAAAACCACCACTGCTTAAGGACTTCCAAATGACCTTCCAGGACTTCTCCAGGAATTTCCCTGGAATTCTCCAGGATTTTCCCTGGAATTCTCCAGGATTCTCCAGCACTTCTCCAGGATAACCCCACGACCACCCGAAGAACACGATAGAAATTCTCCAGGATAACCAAACCCATCGTAAGAGAACAACCTGATATAACCTACCCTTAACTTACCTGACTTAACCTAACCAAACCTAACCTATCCTAGCCTAACCCAAAACGCAACCTAATCCAATGAAACTTATCCCAATCAAACTTAAACAATCTAAAATAACCGACCCGCATAGGATCAAACCCACCACAGCTTAAGCACTTCCAAATGACCTTCCAGGACTTCTCCAGCAATTCTCCATGATAAAGAAATTTGCGGATAAGGTCTCCAGGACTTCTCCGACACTAGTCTAGGACTTTTCCAGGATTCACAAGTTGAAGCTTCCTTTATCACTCAGTCTGTTGGGTAATGTACGATCTGACAAGAAGAACCGCTTCGTGTCAGGGAGGGGGGGCTTTAGGCAGCCAAGTGAGACCGGAAGCAGCTGTTGTAGGCAACAGGAACTGTATATTTGTGCCAAACATTATTGTTTCAGCAAACTAAAATTCTTTATATAAACTTTCTGAATTTTAAGGAATAGGATATTAAAGTAAAACATTTTTTCTGAAATATTTTATGTAGTGATATAGGTTTGCCCATGTTTAGACCTATTACGATGCATCGAAAAGTATTATTCTGTTATGAATTTGTCTCTCTGAAGAACAAAAGCGAAACGACCTCCACGTTAAGTATGACTTAAAGATAAAGATCTCTCCTTGACATGGATCCAGTTTATAAGGTATGGGCAAGATGGCCGAGGATACGTCCAGATGTCAAGTTGCACTTGCGAATTTGTGACCATATGACTTAAGAAGTGGTTGTTCTTACTGAGACTTTCCGTGGTTTTCCTAATCCTCACACAAAAATGTAGGGTTAGCATCTTAATATAAATTACGACCGTCTCCTCTCACATTCTTACCAAGCCATTACTCTTTGTCATCCTATTAATCAACATTCAACGCTTCGTAACACCTGAGACACAAACAGTGTTAGTGGAGTACTCATTTTCCTAATGAGCTCTTTGTTATTTTTCGTGCCTTATTATATTTACTATTATTATTCATTTATTGTAGGTTCACTGCAGAGAGAAACTGAGTATTGCAAAGCTAAATCATACAACAGGCTACACACTTCAAAGTCACGTTAAAATGATTTTTGGAAAATCGATCAAATTCTTTATAAACCAAAATTAAATTAGCTGGTAACTTTTACTGCAGTTGGCCAGTTACCGGATTAATCAAAATTCGTCCACTGTATTCGGATATTAAATCTGCAGAAGGACGTACAGACACGACGAACGTACTCATTGTATTTTCATTTTATGCACTGTACAAACTGCAAATGGCCCAATTGGTAATTTCGTAGGCAATGCGTATGTATCGAAGAATGTTTCCAATATTAAGGTGGTTCATTGTTTTCAAAATGCAGCGTGGAAATGTTTCCCATCGTTAAAAACAAAAACCTTGAATTATTCATCCATAGAGATGCGCTGTCTCTGTCTGACATCCGGTAGTCGATGGACGGACTGACGGACAGGTGGTCTCGGCAGTTTCACCCACAGACTGGCTACTGGTTGGTCGTTGGATCCTGCTCAGTGTAACTGCCATCAAGAATCAATTTACTTCGCGTTACTTTTCCAGTTACTTACGATAGGCCTATGGAAACTCAGTGCTGATTGATAAAAGCCGAATAGAAAATGGAAAAATACAATTTCGTCGTCTACTTGCAGTTCTTCATATCGACCACAAACAAATACCTCAACCACGTGATAACAACATTTATTCTGAGAGACTCAACAAACAACTGAAGGATATCCATCACGCATTCAACAAACGTGAAAGAAGAACCACTTTAAATGTTTACATTTGTTCAGAAAAATTACATCGAATTGCCTGAAATATCAGTTCTTCAGAAATGCCACGAAAAAGGTTTAAAATAACGACTTACGCTTTCCCAGAAAAGCCACAAGAAAGAACTTGGGATACCGAAGCCAAGATTTCGTTCTGAACGTGAAGTAAACGCCTATCATGCGCTACGCTACACCTGCCACGAGCGAAATCGCCCGTCTCACTTCTGAGTTCCGATACGACGTGTGTGAACTTCTAACTGGGTTTTCTACTACAAACTGACGATTGGAATCGTGTGAGTTGACCTGTGAATACGTGAATCGACACCAAAATGTGGTGTATCAGTGTCCTGACATTTTCCATTCAAAATGTCATGACGTTTATGGTGATTTGGTGTTATGGTATTCTATGGCATTG